CCACAATGCCCGGCTATTTTTTGGTTGCAGCCATCATTGTTGTTTGGCAGGCCTGAGCTGGATTCAAACCCGCCACCTTAAGTGTATGTGGCTGGCGCCTTAGCCACTTGAGCCACAGGCGCCGAGCCTATTTATTTATTTTTTGTAGAGACAGAGTCTCACTTTATTGCCCTCGGTAGAGTGCCATGGCATCACACAGCTCACAGCAACCTCCAGTTCCTTGGCTTAGGCGATTCTCTTGCTTCAGTCTCTCGAGTAGCTGGGACAACAGGCGCCCACCACAATGCCTGGCTATTTTTTTGTTGCAGTTCGGCCATGGCTGGGTTTGAACCTGCCACCCTTGGTATATGGGGCCAGCACTCTACTCACTGAGCCACAGGTGCTGCCCCCTCAAATGTTTATTTTTATTTATTTATTTATTTGCCGAGGCTGGGTTTGAACCCACCACCTCCAGCATATGGGGCCAGCACCCTATTCCATTGAGCCATAGGTGCCACCCCTCAAATGTTTATTGATGAAAAACAATGTGGGACAGAAATATACTTTGCTCAGGACCCTGACCCCATCTCTAAGTTCCTGTAACTACTAGTAGGGGTGGGAGGTGGATATGATGGGAAAAGGTCAGCCATTTCCCGATTCTTGGATTCAAAAAAGCTGGCTAAGGTTTGAGAACTTAAGGACAATGAGTCAGCTTAGAGACCTATTCCTTGACTGGAGGAAAGTGTGGGAGTCCTTTTTTTTTTTTTTCCAAGAGTATGCTGCAGAGAATTGGAAAGTGTAGGGGTCTCATGTCCTACCTTTTCCAATACCTGATATCCAAATCTTTTGGCATCAAAGGTACACAAAATCAGGGTTTAAATCAGGGATAAATTCCCCCAGAGGAGAAAGTATCAAGACATTAGTAAAGAGGGGGTCAGATCCAGAGTGCCTAGCACCATGCCCTACTCAGAGCTTAGCAAATCTTAGTTGAACAATGACGAATACAGTGGCCTGGCGCAATGGCTCATACTTAGAATCCTACCACTCTGAAAGACTAAGGCCAGTGGATCTCTTGAGCTCAGGTGTTCCAGACCAGTCTAAGCAAGAGTGAGACCTTGTCTAAAAAAAGCTGGGTGTGGTGGCAGGCACCTGTAGCCCAGCTACTTGGGAGGCCTAAGCAAGAGGATCACTTGAGCCAAGAGTTGGAGGTTACTGTGAGCTAAGATGATGCCAATGCACTCTACCCAGGATGACAAAGTGACATTCTGTCTCAAAACAAACAAACAACAACAAAAAAAAACAAACAAGAAATACAGCTCAGCATCTTTAGGCCTGTTCTGAGTACCTCTTCTCCTTCCCTGCCTCCTCCCCAACCCCAATCACCTTGGCTTTGGTTGTTCTGCGCCATAATTCTCCTTAGGATGATGACAAGGTGCTGTGCTTTGGCCTTCAGTCTGAGAACCAGCTTCTCCCAGGCTTTTGGGTCTCTGGCCTGAGACCAGGGTGCCCGGGGTTCTGCCCACCTGCCCTCCTTGCAGCACCATAAGAAGGGCTGATCATCCAGATAGCCTGAGACTTCAAAAGAGGCTTGCCCAGGGCTGGGCTGGGAAAGAGCAATGAAGTCATAACGCAGAGAATGGTTTGCTGAGGGAAAAAGAAATGAGGGGCAAGTGTCATTTCTGATAGGAGTCTTGCCTAGGACACAACGGCTCAATATTCCTATGAGAAGGTGAGGCTGTGTGACTATTTTTGAGGGCACCAAAGGAGTAGGGAAGGGAACAAGGAGTGAACTATGGGAAAAGAAATTCTTGTTTCCCTCCAAGATCTCATCCAGGCTGCTCACTGTTGTAAATAGTGACTCTCAAATCTCTAAATTCCTGGCTCAGTGCCCATATCACAGTGGTTACAGCTTCAGCCACATACACCAGGGCTCCTGGGTTCGAACCCAGCCCGGGGCCTGCCAAACAACAATGACAACTACAATAAAAAAAAAAAAAATAGCTGGGCATTGTGGCAAGCGCCTATAGTCCCAGCTACCTGGGAGGCTGAGGCAAGACTTAGTGAGACTCTATCTCAAAGAAAAGAAAAAAAGAAAAGAAAACCAAATCTCTAAATTCCTGAACTTCACCTCTGTATATGCATCCAGCTATTGGCCATCTTAACCTAGTACTCCTTATCACCTCATTCTGGACACATCTAAAACTGAACATATTCTCTTAGCACTGCCACAGAACAACCTGCCCCTCATCCTATACTCCCAGTAGGTGGCTTCACCACTCACCTGCCTACTTACTGGGAGAACTGGCCTGTGGTGTGCGCCATCACTGATGTCATGGTAATATCCTGATAAGGTACCATGAAGCTATCCCAGAGGTCATGGAAGAAAAAGGCTTATAGACAAAATTAGGATACTCAAAGTGGTTTATTAAATGAATGTAAAACACTGTGCGAAGCAAGAGGAAAGTCCTGAGGTAGGTTAACACTAAGTACAGGGTGCAAACTGGGGGGAAGAATCATACAACCTGATCACAGGTAATGTAACATGCATCTGTGCTATCCAACTGAGACCTCATAAATATTGAGAGCCTCGTGTTTCATGTATTTAGGGTATCATGACTATTTAGTACCTACTTGGCATTTCTGTCTCTTTGTATCTCTATTCACACAAATTCCCTCCATCCCATTCTTAGTCCTGTCTTCTACAGCAGAGCTGGATATTCCCAAACAACCAGCAAGTGTGCTTCATAAGGGTGTTTATCCCAGAGTGCTGCCTCCCATCATCCTCCAGTTCCTTTCTTGCTTCTATTTTTCTTTTTTTCACTCAACAGAGTGAGACTCTGTTGCCAGACTAGAGTGTCATGCCATCAGCCTAGCTCACAGCAACCTCAAGTTTCAGAGCTCAAGTGATCCTCTTGCCTCAGTCTCCCAAGTAGTTGGACTACAGGTGCCTGCCACAACACCCAGTTAATTTTTTTTCTATTTTTAGTAAAGACAGGGTCTCACTCTTGTTTAGGCTGGTCTCAGACTCCTGAGCTCAAGTGATCCTCCTTCCTTGGCTTTCCAGAGTGCTAGGATTACAGGTGTGAGCCACCATACCTGCCCATCCTCCAGTTTCAAACAATCACCAAACCCTGCTCATTTCTTACTGCCTATGTCTCAAATCTGGACATTTCTCTACACCCACCAAACCAGCCCTCACCATGGTTTCCTTAATTATAGCCAAAGTCTTTCCAAGTAGTCTCCCTCCCTTCAGTCTTAACCACTTAAAATCTGTCCTCCTTGATATAATCAGAGTGATTTATCTGGAAACACATATCTGGCTACATACCATTCTGCTGTTTCCTTTTGTCCTCAAGGATAACTACCAAGCTCCTTAGGAAGCTAAACAAGGCCCTTTGAAGGCTGCCACCTCTGGTACTCCCTGCCCTTACCAAGCCCTCTTAGAATAGGAACACTGGAGCATCTCTGTACTCCTGCAGTTCCATGTCCCAGTGCCTTCCTGAGATTTTCCACTCTTGAAGAAAAACCCATCCTTCCCTTCTTCCCTACACACCAGCTAAAGCCTTTTTTTTCTTTGTATGAAAGGTCTTTTTTTTTTTTTTTTTTGAGACAGGAGCCTCAAGCTGTCCCCCTGGGTAGAGTGCCGTGGCATCTCAGCTCACAGCAACCTCTAACTCCTGGGCTCAAGCGAGTCTCCTGCCTCAGCCTCCCAAGTAGCTGGGACCACAGGCGCCTGCCACAACGCCCGGCTATTTTTTGGTTGCAGCTGTCATTGTTGTTTGGTGGGCCCGGGCTGGATTCGAACCCGCTGCCTTGGGTGTACATGGCTGGCGCCTTAGCCACTTGAGCCACAGGCCCCGAGCTGTATGAAAGGTCTTTATTGGTGGGGGAGGGAGGCTGTAGGGCAGCACTAAGGAGGAGAGAAAAAGAGAAAAGAGGAGAGGGAGAGAGAGGAGGAGACAGAGGGGAGAGGGGGAGACCTAAAGCCTTTTGTTAAACTCTTACCTGTCCTTAAACCATCTACCATGCTGCTCAGCCTCTCAGCCCCTTCATTTAAGAGATGATCTATGACTCACTCAGAGAATGGTGGGCTAATCCCAACACACACACTCCTTGCCACTTGTCAATGGCTGTACTTCCTTCTCATGGCCATCCCTTTTCCTATTAAAAGTTAATTTCCCTGGCCTCTCTTGACTATTACACTCTATTCAGGAGGTTAGTTCTTTCCTGACTACTAGCTCCTGAGAGAAGTCAGAAGGTACAGTGCAGTACTTCCCAAGCTCTCCAGAGCCTAAGAATCACCTAGGCTATTTTCCAGGCCTTTCCCCTTAAGAACCTGACTCCAAAGGGTTGGACCCAAGAATCTATATTTTTGTTTTTTGGTTTTTAGGGTCTCATTATGTTGCCCAGGCTGGAGTGCAGTGGCTATTCATAGGTGCAATCATTGTGCACTATAGCCTTAGGTGAATTCCTGGCCTCAAGTCATCCTCTGACCTCAGCCTGCAGAGTAGTTTGGACTATAAGCACATACCACCATGCTCAGTTCAAGAATCTGTATTTTTTTGGCTGGGCATAATGGCTTATGCCTGTAATCCCAGCACTCTGAGAGGCTGAGGTAGATAAATAACCTGAGCTCAGAAGTTCAAGGCCAGTCTAAGCAAGAGTGAGGCCCTGTCTCTACTTAAAAAAACAAAAAAAAAAAGAAAAAGAAAAATTAGCTGACATTGTGGTGGGTGGCTACTCAGTAGGCTGAGGGAAGAGGATCTCTTAAGCCCAAGAGTTTGGGGTGGCTATGAGCTATGGTGATATCAAAGCACTCTACACAGGGCAGCAGAGCTAGACTGTCTCCAAACTGTGTTCTTTTTTTTTTTTTTTTTAAAGAAGCACTTCAGATGCACTCTATTTTTTTTTTTGGCAGTTTTGGGCCAAGGCCAGGTTTGAAACGGCCTCCTCTGGTATATGGGGCCGGCATCCTACTCCTT